CTACCATCCTTGGGCTTCATGAATTTCCTGAACTTTCTGGCAAAAGCAACCATATATTCGTCAGTTAAAAGAATGGAAGGGTCAAAGTTATTTACCTTAGGGGTGTTGGCTGTGAGGGCAGTGGTAGACCTATCCTCAACTTCTTCTTCTTTCTCTTCTTCATTCATCTCAAACTCATAAGACTTGAGATTTGAGATGAGTTTCTCTGTGCTGTAGGTTCTGAGATATTTGCTATCTCGCATGGCAGCGACCTTCATATTTCAGGGAGAAGGTAGACCTCTTAGAACCTTCAAATTGATCTCCTTGGGCGTCAGTTCCTTCCCAAGCTCAGAGATATCAACAGTAAGGGTGAGCAGACATGCATACATCTCAGCTATGCAATCTTTGGGTAGAAGTTTGAAGTCTTCAAACTTCTTCATAGCAATGGTTAGTTTGTTATCCTTCTCCTGCTCATCACCAGCTCCGATGAGGGTGAGTGTGTCCCAGATTGCTTTAGCAGAGGTGCATTTCTTGATTCTGGTGAAATATTTGTCATCTATGGCTTTGTAGAGGATGTCCTTGACTATTTAGTCCAGGTTGTACTTCCTCCTTTCTTCATTTGACCATTCATGGCGCAGTTTGGTGATCATCTGGGATAGACCACTACCAACAGTATATTCTGGGTTCACCTTGGCAAACTCAGTAAAGGGTCCTGCATCCACAACTTCCCACATCTCATCATGTAGGGCACAAATGTGCGCTTTCATCCTGATCTTCCAGTCGTCAAATTTTGTAACTGAGAACATAAGATTCTTGGAAAGTGTGTTATCCATGATGAAAATTTTAAAAATAAAGGCTAAGTAACAAGTGGATCTCTGTTCAACAGGTAACCTAAAAGATTACAAGAACGAGGAGGCTTTGATACCACTTGTTGGTCCCATTTGTACTAGGAACAGTCTAGAGTGGGGGGGGGGGTGAATAGACTGTTCAGAATTTTTCAGACTTTTCTCAAAGTCACAAGTGACTTGACAGAGATGGTCTGAAACGGGTGACAAAGAAGGTCGAGTTCTGGTGACAGAACTGGGCCTGGCAGTGGATAGGAGTTCTGTCCGGGTAGCCTCAGAAAAACACTAAGGCAAATGCCTTTCTGTTAACTCTCAAAGAAGATCTGCTCAACACGGAGTCCAACTTTTTGAGTTAATCAATAAGAACTTAAAAGTGCAGAAAGTAAAATGCGTAAAGTAAATGACACCGGGGTTTTTGGAGTGGTTCAAGGAACAACTTGTTCCTCTAGTCCACTGTTCCACTAAGCTTGCAAAAACAACCGTTTACAACGCCTTAGTCCCTAGAGCTTAAGAAGCACTCCACGTCTTCTTCAAGTCTAGTTGCCACCCAGGATGCAGTCCTTGCTTCCTGATGGCTGGTCTCGTTTCACTGAGTCTCTAGAAGTATCCCCACTTGACTACTCCAGCTAGTTTGAGACGTCCCTTCTTTTGCAAGAAGTGTTTGATTGAAAATCAGTTTTCTCCAACGTAGCTTCTTCACAATGGATGTGTAGATGAGGCTTTTGAAGAGTTGAAGAACTGGAGGAACTTTGCTCTTGTTGGAAGAAAAGATATGAAGATGAAATCTTTCCAACATAAGCTTTTCTTGTTAAGGAAGATGAAGTTGTGATCTCAAGAAAGCTTGTAGGTTTGAATGTTGTGAGAGCAAAAGTTGAGCAAAAGTTATCCAGTTGTTCTTCGAGGTGTATCTTATATACTGGGAGCTGACTTCCCGTTGGAGTGTAGAAGATAGCTTCATTAAATGCTTGTACTGTTGATTTGATCGGTTGGTTCTTGACTTGCTATATTGGGGGCGAAAGGATATCCGCATGGTCAATCATCAGCTTTAAATATCTCTTCGTACGTACCGCATTAATTGAGCATTTAATGTGTGAACAGTATCATGTTCTGTCGAAGAGGCTCCTAGCCGTTGGGGTATTTCCCGTTAGTTTCACGGCCGTTAGAAGTTACTTCGAATTCTTCCAAGTGTTGAGCACTTTTGGTAGAGGTAGTAGAGGGCAACTCTGTTGATATCCTGTCCTTCTGTCTTTGTTGCTTCTCTGGTCTTAACAGAGATCCTGAGGTTCTCTGTCCCGTCGAATATGTTATAACTTTACACTTAGAAAAAATTCTAATACAAAAATTCTAATGAGGTAATTTAACATTCTAATTAACCTAGCATCATCAAAATCTAATTACAATTATTCCTTACAGTGTTCATTAACTAGGGTAGTGTTGGTAGTTGGGGCGACCTCATTGGTCACCGGGGTGCCGGCTGGTCAATGTCAGTGACAACATCTGTAATTGACGGATGACGAATGTAATTATCACTAGACGGGCGGACATTGGTCATTGAACGGGTGGACGTCGGTCACTGGAAGGGCAGACATTGGTCACTAAATGGGTCGACATTGGTCACTAAACGGGCAAACGTTGGTCACTCAACGGGCGGACGTTGATCACAAAACGGGCGGCCGTTGGTCATTGTAACTGACGCCGGCGGTGGTTACTGTAACTTTTTGGTCACTGTAACTATTTCCGGCGGCGGTCACTATAATTGTTGCCGGTGGTGGTTACTGTCACTATCGTCAACGGTTGTCACTGGGGCGATATGAAGCAGTAGTAACTGAAACGGTGGTCATTAGACGGCCGTAGTAACTAGACGGTTTCACACTTATTTTTGTGTAATAATTTAAATATTTTAGTCACCAATGTTTACATCCAACTATCTATTATTGGAATTAATATTAAAATAGAAAGAAGAATTAATTGCTTTTTGGAAGCAAGAAGAATTAATTGTTTTTTTTGCATAGAAGAAGTAATTGTTAAAGAATGCAATGAATGTCACGTAGTGCATTGGGAGGATAATTTAGAAATTAGGTGTTAATTAGTCACATTTCTGGAAAGTTTGAGAAAAAGTATCTTTTTTCCATTGTCTATTTTTTAGTAATATTTATGTCAAAACCTCATGTATGAATCCAATTTAATTTTATATTTTTGAAATATGCATTGATATGAAAGTCATACCAAGCACTTGATATAGCCGGTTATAGATTTGACACAACCAATTTATAGCCGGTTAAGGAAATAAGATTACAAAAATATCCGTAGCAAACACATGATACAACCGTTTATAGCGCAAATTATATCGTGAGATCGGCCCACCATGCACCTGGTGTGCCGATCCCAAACGGTGTTGTTTCGATTAATAAAATTCGGTCTCTTCTGACTGAATTATTTCAAAGCCCCAATACTATTCCCTGTAGAAGAAGCTTCGAAGTTCAATCCTCCATAAACCTGAGACTACCTCAACGATTCCGAGCACTGCCCCAGATGAAAAACAGAGTCATCATACTTTTCCAAGCAAGAAGAGATCGCTGACTTCAAAGCTCACATTCACAAGGCCCTGGGCCATGTTTCAGGCTGAATTGGGCATCTCTTGGAGCCGGTAGGGGGCCTGTTAGCCTGACACAGAGATGAAGATCTGAAATTATGGCTCCTAAAGTTGGGGATTGGGTTTCTGTAGGGGATTGGGTTGCGATTTGTTCAAGTTTTTTGTTCAAGTTTCTGCAGAGGATGGTCATCCATGAGTATCTAAGAAAAGTTATATTTTTATTAAAAGGGTACATTTTCATTCATCTCAAGTTACATATCTATGAATGTGAGTTACATGTCAATTTTCTTCACCAAGTTACATCACACTTACACGTGATTTACATTTTTCATAATGTGAGTTACACCACAATATAATGCGAGTTACACAACAAAATAAGCTTCTTCTATTCAAAGAAAAAATATTTTTATAAAAAATCGTTTTTATAGAAATAAAATATATAGATTGTTTTTTATAAATTTCTTTTTATAAAAACTATATTTCAAGTGGTATAACAAGTTGAGAGAGTAAAATAAGTTACTTTTCAAAAAAATGAGTAAAACAACTTATATACTCTAGCGCGTGAGTTACATTTGAAAACACTGAATTTACATTTTACAATAACACGAGTTACATATCAATACAAAGGATTTACATTACAAAAAAAATTAGACAAATATAAGAGTACTGTTCACGCGAATTTTGTTAAATTAAAGCTTAAACCTAAACGACACCATTTTATATGTGGGAGGGAGTAAGATGTTCCAGCACCCAATCAATTATAATTGGGAAATACTCCGTAATACTGTATTTTTCATGATTTCGGGTAAAAGTTTATTAGAAAAAGTGAAGTGTGAACTTTTGAAGTTAATTTGGGGAAGGATAATAGTGTGAAGAGAAGAAAATCATAGATATCTTAGCTGTTGTATGTATATAGAAGTACTTTAGGCGATTGATTCATATTCAACCCACCATACCATTATCGCTCGTTTCGCTTCTTCTCCTTCCACTACCACCACCGCCCTTTGTCGCTCTATCTGCCCTCCGATCAACATATCGCACTTCGGAAATTGTTGCATTCCTGCATATACCCCAGGACATGTTTACTGTCACTTGTTCATCGCTCCATTACTGGGCTTCTCCTCTTCCTCATGCTATTGTTCACCTGAGCGTTGCGAAATGATTTCTCACTCGCCTTCTTCACCCAACGTTAGTTGCGACTTCTCAACGACTTTCTCGCTTCATTCACCTCTTTGCCCATGTACACAGAAAGCAGGATTGGTTCTACGGCGGAAGTGTGCTTCGAACCGGAAGATGCAATGGCCATTTCTTCGTGCTTGCATCAATAGCGCCAATCCCCACAATTTCGCCTTGGACATTCCGAGCTCGGCTTCTAGGGGTGCTGGAACAATTGTGATTAAAAGGTTTTCCGGTGATGTTGATTCTTCTTCTGCTACTACCAGTGGAGGTAGCACCAATTTTGCTAGCTTCCAGGAGGACCCTATTGTGGACAAGTTGAGGACCCAATTAGGGGGTATACACCCAATCCCTTCCCCGCCTATTAACCGCAACATTTTCGGGTTCTTTGCATTCTTTTTCTTCGTGGGTATGGTTTTCGATAAGGTATGGACTTCCCGTAAGAGGAATTACAACAAGCTGGATAAAACCGGTATATTGCCGCAGATCCCCACAAACCTCTCGTCGTTTCTGGAGAAGGATTTGCAGAGGAAGGAGTCCGTGGAGTGGGTAAACATGGTTTTAGGGAAGCTCTGGAAAGTGTATCAGGATGGGATTGAGAGCTGGATTATCGGCTCACTCCAGCCTGTTATCGATGATCTAAAGAAGCCAGATTACGTGGAGAGGCTAGAAATTAAGCAGTTCTCTCTTGGGGCGGAGCCACTTTCTGTTAGGAGTGTTGACCGCAGAACATCTCGTCGTGTCAATGACTTGCAGTGCGTGACGTGACTTTTGATTAGGCTTTTACATGTTCAACCTCAGTAAACTTCCTTCCTATTATATCACTCTCATATGGCCAACCCAGTCCTAATACCTTAGGTCATATTGGAATTTTATGCATAAAGCACATACTTATATCTACATACTTGCAATAATAAATAAACCACCAATATTCTCCTTGGCAAAGAAATTCCTTTTGTTGCTTTGCCCCCAAGAACAGACATTTGACTCTAAATTTTATTTCGCTTTGTTTGACCGTAAATCCATAGCTTATTATCATTCTTTTATGCAAACTAGGTACCAAATAGGCCTCAGGTATACTGGTGGTGCTCGCATGCTTTTGATGCTGTATCTAAAATTTGGCATCATTCCTGTTGTTGTACCTGTGGGTGTACGAAATTTTGATATTGATGGTGAACTTTGGGTTAAATTGAGGTTAATACCCACGGAACCTTGGGTGGGAGCTGTTTCTTGGGCTTTTGTTTCTCTTCCCAAGATCAAGCTTGATTTGTCTCCTTTTCGCTTGTTTAATCTAATGGGTATGAAATTTCAATCACCCAAGATCCTTATTCTGGATTCCTTTATTTATGTCTAGAATACCATTTTAATGTCTGCCCTATTAATGAGACCACCTCTGGTTAAATATCTTGTTGAGGTTCATCATTGCTGTACATATGGTTCTATATTAGGAACGCTATTGTTGTGCATAGTCACCTATGCACTATTGCACTATCATTCCTTGTAAAGTATTGATTTCTAAAATGTGTATCAATCTGATGTAATTTACTTTTACTTATCACAAAAAGATCAATCTGGTCTGTGGCATTTGTTTAATCCTCTTGGTTCCTGATACGCTCATAACACAGTGGTGTGTGCAGTGTGGTTTAGACGGGTTAAGGTTAAAGTTTTAAACCAGCATGCAGTATTTATTTTATAAGAACTACTTCCTCCGTCCCATTGAAAGGTTCTCGTCCACTATTCTAGGGTCAACGTGAATTGTTCTTAATCTTTTATTTTATGACAAAATTCCACTATTATTACTTCTGGAAAATTGGTCGACAAACATGTGAATATAATGTAAACTTTGAACACAATTAGAGTCAGTAAAAGTTACCAAGTCACATTGTTGTCCATGATTGTTTTATTAGTACTATTTTAGTATAAACTTTGTACTTTATATATCCAACTTTTATCAAATTTGATTTTTTTGTGCGACTTTACAAAACTTTTGGTGTAGTTTTTGAACATGTAAATTTTATTTACTAAAAATAATCTCATGAATGACAGGGATCATTTAACATTATGGCCGGTCAAACATAGTAAACCGCGTGGGAACCTTTAAGTGGGACAGAGGGAATAGTTCATTATTATTTTTAGAGCCAATCCACACCAAAATAACTGGTGGTTTTGTTGGTTTACATAGATTTAATTTTATGGGCACCCCTACTCGACACTACAATCAATGTTATTATTACTATTCATTTAACTATCACCAATGTGTTAACAAATGTTTGTTTTTGCACTTCCTTTTCATGCATGCATCTCAACCAACACCAGCAATTCCTGTTCTCTCGACGTAAGTGATCATAAACTTCTGAACTTAATGTATTTTGGAAGATCATAGTACACATAGGTCTTGCAGCTATTTGCAAATCTCGTATTACAACTTCATGATTTTGGGTTGAAAATTTCTTTCTATTTAAATTATTTATTCGCAAAACTCATATCAATGTTCTTAGTATTCATATGTTGTTTTTTACAATCATTCAATCCAAAGGTAATTCTTTTCACAATCTTATGCTTTCACCCTTAAATTAAAATGGAATTATCTTAAGATATAGGTACAGTTCCACTGTAAACTCTGGAATTATATATTACTCATATATTACATTTTGAATTACTACTGATGTTGCAGGTTTTTGACAAAACTTCTAGCTGAGGACTTGCCTCGTCTCTTTGTCCGCCCAAAGAAGATTGTTTTGGATCTACAAAAGGGAATGGCAGTTCGGCCTGTTACAAAGGATTCAAATGTCTCAAATGAATCTAAGTCTGGTGAAATACACGGGAACCGAGATTTCGCAGGAGAACTATCTGTTACTATTGTAAATGCCAAGAATCTCTCATATATAATCTACGGTAAGCAGTTTTCAACTATTTTTCCCACCAGTTACCAAAGACTCCCTCCGTTCGGAATTAGTTGCAACATAGAGGTTGGGCACACAGATTAAAGTATACAGTGAAAGAAAATATTTCCCACTTCTACCCCTGTACGTGTTAGGACCTCACAAACCACAGAAGGAAATCACAGGAATATGAATGAAAGATGTAAAAGTAACTAAACTTCATTAACAGAGATGAACAGTGTACAGAGTCCCAAAGAAGGAGATAATACTCCAACTTCCCAGTCCCAGATTCAAAGTCTAAACAGCCTCCTGACTTTTTCCCAGCTTATTCTATTTATACTACTCTAGTTATTACTCTTCTTATTTACTCTCATTCTACCAGGTCCCTAACATATCTCCCCCCCTAAACATCCACCTTGCCCTCAAGGTGGGTGATAGGAAACAGCCACAATCTTCTGCTTCTTCTTCCTCTTTTTTGTTCCTCTTCCTTCCCAATATCTAACTGGTTGATGGACTAGGGACTTCAGTATGGAATCTTTTAAAATCACAGAACCTTCAGCAGCAGAAAGTGAATCTTCCTTTGGTTCAGTCACCTTCCCGTACTCCCTATCAAAAATTATTTCTTCATTTTTCTGCAGCTTCTCCTGATTTCTATGTTCTGAAACTGATACTGTACTGAAAGCAAACTCCTTTTTGTACCTTCCAACTTCTTCCTCTTTCAGTTCTTGGCTTATCTCATTTGATAAGGAAGACATAAAAGGCATTAACAAGCAAAGGTAAAGATATCCTATCCCATTCAAATGCACAATAGCAGAAGAAACAACTGGATAATAGTCTTGATGATCCTTTGAAATATAAGGAGCAGAAAGTCCCTCTTCGACCTTGGTTTTCAAAATGGCTGTAATCATAGTAGACGAGTGCCTCCCAACAGTCAATTCCTGATTGTATATAGCTTTTTCCAAATCTTTATCATTCATAACAAGCCTGCTACCGCTCATAACCTTCATCCAAGTTAGTGAACCTTTATGTGAAATCAATGTACTAGTATCATCAGCAGCATATGACACAATACTTTGGCTTGTGATTAACTCGGCTAAACCACCATATACAATGCTTTTGATGATCTCAATTTTGTTCCCTTCTCTTGCATTGCCTCCTTGCTCCATCTCATGTATTTGGGTGGCTAAATGTGGCACATTAATTGATTCTGCAGAAGCAGTGGGCCCTTCTTCTACAGTTATAATGGTATCCTTACCTTTATCTTCATGAGCATCTGTTGAAATATCAAACTTAGTAAGACCTTCGGATCCTTTAAGTACAGAAACTGGTGATATCAGTGAGAGGACAGCTTCATCATCTGAACTTTTGTTTTGCACTTCCCTATCGCATAATTGGCCAGCTTGCTTCTTCCCCAAACTCAAAGACTGTGCATCAATGCATGAATTTTCTGGCCATTGGGTAATCTGTCCTTGCTCCTCGGTTTCATCCTTCTTATTCATTTTCTTGGTTACAACTTCTGTTGGCTCCATCTCAGTCTTATTTATTGACTGGTGCAATTCTTTCGCAGGTTGAGAAACTTGTGAACTCATCAATCCTGACAGTGAAAAATCTGGCGAAGACCTCGATGACTCTGATTTTGCTGTCTTCCCTATCTTCTGCCGGTGTCTAGGTGGAAAATCCCTAATCAAATCTTCCTTTAAAGCCTCCCAACTATCTTCTCTCTTGTGAAAGTCCCACCATTGAAACCAGCCATCTGCTGCATCCCCCATTGCCTTGGCTGCCATGTCCACTTTAAATCTTTCTGCAATAACTTGGACTCAGAAATATCTTTCCATCCTTTCTATCCATTTGTACGCTTCATCCTCGTAAAATAGAGGTAACTTATCCGTTTTTGAATTAGCTGAGTTCCGAGAAACTTCTTTAGAAGAAGATAGCAAACTGTGAGAATCATTTGGTGAAGAAGAAGATTCTCCTCTCAATCGTGTCTTCCTAGAGTGCGAACTGATGTCCGTTGAGATAGTCTGATGCGAAGAGCGAAGATAAGAATGATGAGAAGAACTCTGCGAAGAGCTATGTGAAGAGCTTGGCGAAGTAACAGTTCGATCGCCAGATTTTCTGCGATGCCTCCGCTCTTCTGAGTCCTCTGGACTCGCTGACCTTCGCGTATGATGAAGATGAGATTCCCGATGCGATGCGTTTGACGCATGCGATCTGTATCGCGACTGTGAACAGTGACGTGTAGTTTGCGATTGCGATGGACTCTGCTTGTCACAGAGACGATGATGCCTGGTGTTGCTCGATCGATCTCCATGTTCCTTTCGAAGCTTCGGTTCTTGATGCGACGTATCAGAAGTGTGCGATTGATTCATCGATCGACTTTGAAGTCTGTTTTGTATTTCCGCAATGCTAGCTTGCATAGCTACCATCGTCTTCGCCATATCAGCTTGCCTAGCTGCTGTCTCTCTCAGATTTCTTTCTATATCCGTCACACGTCCTTCCATCTTCCCAAGATAGACGTGCTCTGATACCAATGTTAGGACCTCACAAACCACAGAAGGAAATCACAGGAATATGAATGAAAGATGTAAAAGTAACTAAACTTCATTAACAGAGATGAACAGTGTACAGAGTCCCAAAGAAGGAGATAATACTCCAACTTCCCAGTCCCAGATTCAAAGTCTAAACAGCCTCCTGACTTTTTCCCAGCTTATTCTATTTATACTACTCCAGTTATTACTCTTCTTATTTACTCTCATTCTACCGGGTCCCTAACAGTACGACACCAAGCCCCAGCACCTCTGTTTTTCTCTTTTACAGACTTGCCATTTGCAGAAGCTCAGCCATCTGTGGCGAAGGCTACAGCAACCTATAACGGATTCATATTTTTTTTCATTTTTCGGACAAATAAATTTTCCCATTTTAACTTCCATTTCTTCTCCTCATTGATAACCACCTTCCAATGCTCCAGCTAGCCTCTATTGTTGGAATTACTTGAAGATCAATTTCAGATTTACTTGTACCTTTCAGTCGAATCTTGGAAGGCAATCACAGGAGGAAGCCGATTTATCCACCTCTTCGTTCTTGGAATCTCCTCTCTAAATTTTCAAACTGGCCGAACTTCAGCCGGCGGCCGCCGAAGTAACAAAGTGAAGAGAAAAAAAAGTAGAATTCATGTTCCATTGGAAGGAAAGCATAAGTAGAATCGATTGTGAGAAATTGGAACAAATCCATGGTATATGAGATAAAAATGAAAAGAAAGAAGATGAAGAAAAGGAATTAAAAACGTGTAAGAGAGATAAATGGTATACGCACGTGGTTGGACAAGAATTAATTCAAAAGAGTGGCACCATATTAATTGGAAGAAGGATTGTAAGGGTATTAATGTCCATATATGTGTCATTTATTGCCTTGAAGAGAAATGTTGCAACTAATATGAAACTGCCAAAAAAGGCAAGTGTTGCAATTAAAAAAGAACGGATGATAGTATGTATTATGTGATATTTTTTTCTTTCCACCGTTTCTCTATATCTTTGGGTTGGGGGTACGTTGCCATGGTTGATGTATTTAATAGCTGCATTATCGACATGTGCTTAGTAGACAAGTAGCAATATTATGAAATGAGTGTTTTTGTCACATTTTTGTTGCCAAAATCTAGAATCATTCTGCATCCAAAAATGACATTAATTTCTTTTAGGGAAAGAATTACTGGGTTCATGTTATTTCTCTCTTGTCTAAATTATTTCAACCACATGGCTTCATTTTCTTAACCTCCATGCCCGATCAAATTCAGGGTTTATTTCGGGATGGATGGAATAATATACATGCAAATGTGCAATGATGACTGATGAGCATGTGAGATTAGGGGGGAAACTATGACACTTATTATTCTTTTTTTTTTTAATAATTAATGGCATTTTTCTTCAATTCTCCCTGCCAATGTTGAGTTTCACTTATTGTTTTCATTGAATGTACGCTGCATTTTGTTCAGTAACCCTGCCTTAGAACAACATGGGAGATTAGGAGTACAATATCACATAAAAATCTGAAAAATGCTGATTTTAAGAACAGTAATTATTCGATATGGAAATATTTGTGCTAGTGAACTAGTTTCGGTGTCTCTTTTCTTTTTTCTTGCAAATTGCAGTTTTTTATTGTTTTTTTCCCTTTTCCTTAATAATGACGATGACTGTATTTTGAGGTTTGCTGGTTGCATTTGGTCATTGTTAGTTTGTTCTTTCTTTTCCATATATGTTTTGCTTTGCTAACTTCCTTTGTAAATTGTCATCCAGGTAAAACTGACCCATACATTATTCTTAGACTTGGAGATCAAGTGATACGCAGTAAAAGGAACAGTCAAACTACTGTTATTGGACCTCCTGGTGAACCTATTTGGAATCAGGTCAGGTTTTATGACTCACCATTGAAATCTGTATACTTGATATGTGGTCTAACTGTTTGGAACTTATGATGTTCATCAGCTGCTTGTTTGTTTTAAACTTTGCACCACAGGATTTTCATATGTTAGTTGCAGATCCAAGTCGACAAAATCTGTACGTTGAAGTGAAGGATTCCCTTGGATTTACCGACGTGACAATAGGTAGAGGAGAGGTATAGGTCTTTCCACTTAAACATTCTTTTTGTCTTTATTTTGCTAAATGATAACATATGAGCTTTCTCCATGTCTCTATTTCATTTCATTTCATTATAAAGGCACATAAGCCGAATGAAGTTCACTTTGTTATTATCCTAGTTAGCCTTATGTTTTTTACACGTTCTTTAGAATTCAATTCCCAACTAATGGTAACACTGAACTTGATATTATATTTAAAAGTTACTCCTCTAACAACAACACCATTACCCCCACAAAACAGTGGCATATCCACTATGGGGGCAGTGGGGGCATCTGCCCCCTCTCAACCCCAACCCAACCCATATATATATCCTAAAATTTTATAGAAATTGCTCAAAATAGGAGTTAAACAGAACAAATTTTAAAATAGGATTAAGAGTGTATTCTTTCATAAATATAGGATTTATGTAATCCTATATAAAGAATAAAAGGATAAAAAATTCATTACATTTTATTATGTTTAACTTCTATTTAAGTAATTTTCTCAAATTTTATTAACAATTTCATGATTTCATCTATTCACACACGTAATTTAAATTGATCCTTTTTGTACATATTTGTACATTTATAACTTCAACAAAATCTAATCAAACAAAATTAATAATGATATCTGCTATTATTGAAATACTCCCTCCGTCCCCCTATTATTGTCCCAGTTCCTATTCACTTGGTCAACACAAATCACTCTTAATCTCTTACTTTTTCTATCAAATTTTTATCAAAATTGATTCTGGTTATTGTGACTTTGTAAAGATTTTAATGTAGTTTCTGAATATGTAATTTTTTTCCTAAAAATAATTTGAGTGCGGACAGAGATCCGTTTGCTTTATCGTCGGTCAAACATCGTAAACCGCAATTGGATAGTAATAGGGGGACGGAGGTAGTATTTGATTAATTTGTAATGTAAGCTTGCCCCCACTCGGAAATATTTCTGGATATGCCACTACCGCAAAAGGCTCTCACCTACAGTGGGGTGAGGGGGGTCGGACGTACGCATTCTTACCCGCGTGCACAGAGAAACTGTTTTTGGTTGACCCATGATGAGAATCCTATTGAAAATTGCACAGGGTGACTGCTCTTTCATAACAAAGAAGCGTAGACAATTTAGTGAAATAAAAGTTACTCCTAAGCAGTAAATACTCCAAGTAGGAGAGATGGTACAATGATTTGTTTTTTCTTTTTATTTCTGAAAATTTTCTGCTAATCTAATCCCCTATATTTATTATTACGCTGCTATCATGCTTAAGTCTTCAGATCTGAATTTACATTCTATATGAATGTTCGTCCTTTTTTTATTTGTACTAAATAGGGTTGTATTAACGAATTGATCTATAGCCTTTTGTGTTCTTCACCCGTGTTTTTGATTTTAGGTAATTGATAGTTGATGTGAGTTGTTGCTTCTGTATATGATTTCCTAATGTTCCTTTTCAATGTGTGGTTGTATATACGTTGTACTCAAATCCTATGGTATTAACTACTACGTATTTCATAAATAGTTGATGAAAACAAACATATCATTTTAGGTTGAAGGACTAAAAGTCCAAAAATGCGTTTGTTATCCAAAATGAAGAATCAGGGTCCAAAAAAGCTGATTCACATTTCTGTAACGTGTAACTAGATTTCACAATAAACTCAGTTCTTCTCGGTAACGTGTAAATAGATTCAAATTGAAGAATCAGAGCTTTATATGCACTGCTGCGTAGAACCATAACTTTTTTTTTTTAAATTTGAGTATCTTTTAGTTTGAAAGCAAGTTACTTATAAAGAAAATAACAGTGAATGATTGAATTTTAGGTTAATCTCGGCTCATTAAAAGATACAGTACCTAAGGATAAGGTTGTGAGCCTAGGAGGTTGGGGCTTATTTAGTCAGCGGCCAGCTGGAGAAGTCTTACTGCGATTGACATATAAAGAATATGTTGATGATGAAGAAGATGAGAGGAGTGTGGTAAGATCAGATGATGATGATGATGATCAGTTGTCCGGCTCTGAGCAATTGGAGACTGTCTTTAAGAAGAACATGGGATATGAGTCTTATCATGAAATGGATAAAGAGTCAATTATGGACGTTCTTGCTGCTTTAATTGTTAGCGAGGAATTCTTAGGTATAGTATCATCATCTGAAACTAGTGGTGATATTGGAAATTATGCAGATAATGCAAGAGACGAAGTACCAACATCAAAATCACATAGTTCCATTCCCAGACTTCAACAGCAAATCCCTGAAAGTGGCAGAGAAGGATTTATAGGTAAATATACCACTTTACTTGGCAGTCGAAGTTAAGATTACCTTCATGAATCAATACTGTAGTTACATTTAGATGACTTGATTCCAGATTTAGTTAATTGACGTCTATTTGTACTCTGCTTGTTCCTGTACAATAAAATATGGACTTAAAACTGTGATTATATTTAAATAGGTTTAGCCTTGATTTAATCGACTTTATTTATGGCTCGGTTTGTTCCTCTGCTATTATATTTGCACTTCATATAGTTCTTACATGTGTTGGTTATACATAAGAGGAGTATTTTTGCGTATTATCTAAATGTAAAGCCCAGTTCAGGATTCACTGATTCACTTTGGATCTCAATTATGTAATTTGGCTCAAATATAGTCCTCGCCATACGAAATACCCTTTTTAATTGGAGGGAAATATGCATGAGGACTTAATTGAGCCTAAATTGCTTAGTGGATTAAATTGAGACCAAAAGAAAGTGTAGGACCAAACTGAGTATTAGTGTTGAGGGACTAATTCAGGTTTTTTAATATGTTTAAAATCATTAATAAGAGAGGTTTGCAGGTTCAGCATTGTTTTGGCTCGCCGTAGTTACAAGTATCTCAGTCCTTGTGGCTTGGAACATTGGTGCTTCAAGCTTATTTAATCCTTAATTTTTGGCATTGCTCCTACGAATGAAATGTTGGAGTCCGTCTGGCTGCAGAATAATTTCTGCAAGTACTGCTGATTCTTTCATATGTTTCTAGTTGAGGTATAGAACACCATTTTTATGAGCTAAGTTTCTTAATGCTTCAAATGTTTGTTCTCTACACAGTTTTTTTTTCTAGATATGTTGCCTCTTTCACTCTTTGTAACATTGGAACATGGACAATTCTAGAGAAATAAAATAGGGAAGAAAATATAGGAGAACTTGGGAAGTAAAGAAAATGTTGGGGAAAATAAATATTGCTTCAAACTCTACAAATGTGTTATGGATAGTTGTTCAAACTTATATGGTTTATCTATTTCTATTATACTATGTATATAAATAAAGACAAAGAAATAGAAATATGCCAACATTTTAAAAGCTTTAATCATGTACCATTTTCCTTTGCATTTCCAAACTAAACCAAACAGAAGAAAGTAATTTCTGTAGCCTTTTTCTCCTTTGCCCAGCATTTTCCGGGATTCATACATGCTCTAAATGTTACCAATTAGTTATAAACGAGGAAAAATGGCTAAATAAGCCCTTTCAAAATATTGCAATTCAGCCTCCAATTAAAAACATCTAAATAGACCATCTAAAACCAGGAAAAGGTGTAATTAAACCCTTTTTTGGCCCTTTATCATCCAAGAGGGCAAGAACATAAAATTTTATGTTCCTATATTTGTTCCATGCATGACAGCATGAGGACCAACATTATTTCAGTTTTGCTGATCCAATATGAAGTAGACATCCAAAATACCAAACGGCCAATTCCGGATGAAGTTTTTAATTTGATTCATACAGTTATTTTCATCTACAAGTACTATTTACAGGGGGCTGCTTAAATGCTAAAATTTTGTTCCACCAATTAGTTTTTTCTGATGTTTTTCTCGAGTGCCTTTGACCATGATTGGTAATTGAGTGGGTTCATGTGTTTTGCAGGCGTTGTAACTCTTGTCCGTGAATATAATCAAGATGGAGATTCATACCTATACAAAAACACAACATATACTTGTGACTTATCTATATGTTATCATTCTCGTCCAAAGAAGTGAAGAAAAAGTAATGAAAATTAGATTCGGATTACAATGGCATTGAGAAACATTGCTATGTAGGGATATTTTTAGCCTTTTGCTAATAATTGTAGGCTTTAATATGTTTTTAGTTCATGCAAATTTGATCCATTTTGTTTTAAGTCCTTGTAATATTTTTTGTTTTTCATTTTGTGATTTTCCTTCATTTGCAAATTGCAACGAGGCCAAAGCTTCACCTTTTTGGGCTTGAGAATATGATCGAATAAAGCAAAATGACTCACTAAGGTTGCGTACATCTAGGGGTGGACTAGGCCGGGCTGAACCGGTTTGTGAACCGGACCGGCCCGCTACTGTGTGGGCCGGGACCGGATCGGGACCGGATGGCTGGTTCCGGGCTTTAGCTCGGGTTGGGCGGGCCGTGCTCTTGCCCTGTTTTTCTTGAACCGGCACGGGCGGTCCGGCTCGTGCTTGGTTCATTTTTTTTGTTTTTTCAATTTTTTTCCTTTTCCTAGGGTAGGGTTGGATGTTTTGGGGATGTTTGAGGGGTGGAGGTGGGGAGGTCGGGTGTTAATTAGAAAGCAAAAAAAAAATTACATTGGACTAGCCCGGACTGGCCCGACCTGGTTTGGCTCGGACCCGGTATCAACCCTTGCCGATTCTGGGCCCAACATTTGAAAAAGTGCCCGGCTTGAACCGGCCTGGGTCCGGTCCATGCCTACGTACATCCGACCTTCCCTTACCCCAATGTAGGTAAAATCCTTTACGGCACTAGGTTGTTGTTGATGATTTCATCCCTATAATGTGTATATTTTTTAGTCTATCTCTAACTTCAAATCATTCTATTTAGGAAAAAAGTTATTGTGAGTTGCATATAACTACATGAAATACGTTTTTAGTCCTTAAAAACACGGGTTGATTTTCATTTTAGTCTATCACTGATTAAAGCACCACCGTTTGACCTCGAAATAAACACGAATACTAGGTTTCTTGTTATTCTTTGTCATTCTCATATTAGCATAAAAAAATATAAAAGTATAAATTTAAATATTTCATGTTTTTATTTTCCGGAAATAACCACACATGGTGGCGTCGGGAACACTACGGCACTACCCAATCTTATTTTTAATATTAATAAATTTGGGTAGTGTTCCTCGGCACTTCGCCATCATGTGTGGTTATTTCCGGGGGGGAGGGGGGGGGGGGGGGGGGGGAATGAAATATTTAAATTTATCTTTTTATATTTTTTGATGCTAATATGAGAATGACAAAGAATAATGAGAAACCTATTATTCGTGGTTATTTTGAGTTCAAACGGTGGTGCTTTAATCGGTGATAGACTAAAATGGAAATCAACACTATTTTTTAAGGACTAAAAACATATTTAAACCTTTCGGCTATTAAAGCTTTAAGGTGCCACACTTATCACACTATGTGCAAAAGAGAATCGGCTTTATTTATTAATTAATATTTAAAAAAACTTTTTAAATACTATGTACATTTTTCTATTGACCAAAATGTATGAAAGGCTTAGTTTCGGTGGGGACGATGACTATATGTTGACCTTTTGACCTAAGCGTATGAGTTTTTTCAAGCAGTACTTCATCTTGGATTTTTACCGAAGGTTATTGTCTCCCTCGTTTGTGAGGAAGCTTTTGTCCTCGCTGGCGAGCACTAGGTCTAGAGTCTTTTAGAATGTTTTTTACTTGGGCTGTAATTTGCTGGTTTGGTCTGATCTGTTAAGTCTGGTCTGAGATGTTTAAGTCTGATTTGGTCTGGTCTGAACTGGTAAGATGTGGTCTGGTAAATGTCTGGTCTCTGTGTAATTTATAGCTACGGAAGGTTTGTTTAAATTTGATTTGGTCTGGGACTGAAAATAGTCCAAGTAAAAACATACTTAGTTGCAATTATGAGATATGTTAGCTAGAAATTTGGAATTGTCGGGGTTTAGTGACAAACTCACAATAAAAACCGAGACTCTTGGAATAGGCGAATACTATGGTTCCGTGAATGTCATAGAAGGAGAGAGTCTTGGGGCCTTCTTAGAAGTTTGGCGGACATTAGTGATTTACCATGGCTAGTAATAGGCTACTTCGGTGACACAATGCATGCATATGGAAAGAGAGGAATGTTAGTCCTAGATTGAATGTCCCCAACCACCATGAGTGCTGACAAGTTTTCCATACACAGTTTGGGGGAGTGATTTGGTAAACTTCCCGTTGGATGGGTCTCAATTTATATGGGAATGAGGCTAGAGTTCTCTGACATGGGTGGAGGAGAAACTAGGCCACATATAGGCTTCAAAAGGTTGGCTTGGTATGTTTGGAGATGCATGGGCCACATCCACACCGAGGAGTAACAGTGGCCACCTAGCTCTCTTCATCTATGAAGCACATATACTTCACTAGGGTATCATATCGGTGTATTAGAAACGATCTTTTATGAGATACTCTAGGATACTCAAACCATACGTTTTCGCGCCGTTTTGCAATTTTTAAAAGTTTCCAACTTTTTTGGTAATTATTTTAACAATTCGGATACCCGTATTCTAATGGATACAAGTATCATATTTTTTTATAAAAAAACCAAAATTTACATAATAAGATTCTTAAAAAATGAAAAACAAAAAATAAACTTTACATTATCCAAGATGCTTCAGTGCAAAATTTGTATTAAAACGTTTAGTTTTTATATAAGTTGAGGTTTGTTCCTCCAACTCCAAGGGACCAACACATTCCCTTGGGCTTAGATGGATGTTTAGGTGATTAGTATGAATATGAAGGCACAAGTACTTAGCAATTAAGAGGGAGACAGTAAGTGGGCTAAGTTCTTATTAGACAATCAAGAATGATTACAACACACCCTACTGAGGCCGAGGTTGAGGCCGAGCATCTAGTCTAAGCTGTGAGTAAAGAAGGATTAGATGTGACACCTCACCCGAACGTACTTGAAACCACAATTTAAAATTCAAAGTTGATGTATTAAATTTCCTACTACCAACCATGTGTAAAATGATTAATGTTTTATGTAATGAATGTTTTATTAAACTATCATTGGGACCCATATTTTGGGAGTGGGCTTCCAAATACCTTATTGGGAATACAAAGAGACATCACATGTCAAGGGTACAAAACAATAACACCCAATTCTTCCATCTTTGAAAGTATTGGTAGTTGTTTTCCTCCCAAATTCATTGGGAGCAAAGGGGGTGAGTCCCACACCTCCTTGACACTTGCAAGACAAAAAAATTAAGTGAGAAGACTAGTTGGGCCGGACCACTACAGGGGGGCTGATTGAGACTTAAATGACAAGACATGGACCTCATCCTTACATAATTGGTAAGACATGGTGGGGAATCATCCACATACCACTCATCCCACTCCATACAATAAAATAGCCTTAGAGAGGACTAAGAGCACCCTTAGGACCTCCCATACGAGCTCCCAAAGCTTAGAGAAGAAGAGAACTACACAAAAATCAAAGAGAGCAAGAAAAAGGAAAATTGTCCGTAGAATTCCTAACAGTGCGTGGGGTTGATTGTTCACCCCATACCTCGAGATTCACTTATCCAAATTAGGCGTGTGAGGTGTCTAGAAAAATATCTCAAGACGAGGATTCTGGGAAGGTGAAGTTTGCAACGAACGAAGTTGCGTAAGGTCTCCAAATCGTCGAAGGCAGACGCTACCTTGCAGAACACATTTCTTCTCTAGAGTGAGTTTGAATCCAAAACCTTTCTTTTCATTATCTAAATCATATGAATGATTGAGGAGACTATTATACACTATTACAATTGTAGAATATGTTCTTGAGAGGGTTATTTATGGATGTAAATGTTAGATACTAACCTAGAACAAACCTTGAAAGGTTAGGAAGCGAACTCGCCGGAAAACTCCCTTTCTAGAGGTTGTTTTCACACCGTTGGTTAGGGGATGAGCTAGCACCTTTAGGAGGCTTCCTAGAACCCAATTTTAAGCAAGGAATAAGTTCTCAACCTTCCTTGGCCGAAGCTTGACCATTGTATTGAGAAAGGAAAGATCGAAGCTCATTTGAGGTGATGATCGACATCTAGTTGCTTACAACTTGTAGGTTAAGCATGAGATTACCTAAATGTCTAAATCATGTTTTCATGGATTATGATGCTTAAACATTGATAAAATATGGATATAATTGATAAGGAATGAACTTGATAATTGGTAATGAGTTAAATGAGCTATTAATGGACTATTATGTTAAAATAGGCATTTTTACTCATGTATGAATTGTGTGGATATATAAATGAATATTTATATATTGAAATTGGACATTTAAGTTGATGCCACATATTTCTAAATATGTTGGGACTCACAAATATGAATATTTGGTTTGATAATAATAATCTTTTTGAGATCCCAGTTAATGATTGTTTGTGATTGTTAATAACATTGATCCTAAGGCTTGGATTGTATGTGGTACACTTGAATATACTTCAAGTGTCTAAATTGATATAGTGTTAGAGATATTTTTATAGTTGTGATCAATGTATTTTACTTAGCCCCTTGTAGAATTTATTATGTGTAGAATATCCATTTAATAGCTAAAAGGCTAAAGGTGTTAAATTAGGTATGGGCCTCCTAAAAAGGAGAGCCCAAATGATTGTAAAACCTACCATTCCTAGAGGCTATAAATATGCCTCTAAGGAATGGATAGGTTAAGCTTTTCAGACATATTCTATCTGGCCGCAGGCCTATTTTTGTGTAAGGGAGGTTTTACGCTAAAGTTTCATCATCCTTATGCAAACCTTCTTCACACCAATGGAAAGCTTCATTCACCATCTTTGATCACTATTCTATATTTCTAGAGCTTAGAAATAGGGACCTAACATATAGCATGAAGCTAAGATCAAGCTATGGGCAGTCCTTAACGATTACCCAAAGTGGTTTATTTTAATGACAATTCTAGGCATTGTAATTGCTTAGGAATTGGGGTGTGAATTGCATGGTGATGTAGTAGAGCCGAGCTCCAGAATGCAAGGTTAAGTATTATATCCGAATGGTATGAATTGCATGGTGATGTAGTAGAGCCAAGCTCTAGAAATGCAAGTGATGTATTCGGGTTGAATTCTATGAATTGTCGTAACTAGTAGTCACAGGGAATAGGGATAGTGATTTC